TTTTCGCTTGAGTAGATTTAAAACGGAATATATGGAGTGTAATTTTAGTATAATAGACTTAGTGAGGGGATTGTGACTTTGGGCGATCAAGTCATTAATAAGAGTACACGTTTTAGATATCTTGGATCTATTGTTCAGAGTGATAGTGAAATAGATAGGGATATTATCAACAAAATTCAAGTTGGATGGTTGAAGTGGAGGAATGCATCAAGCTTGTTGTGTGATAGAGAAGTACCCCTCAAACTTAAGGGAAAATTCTATAAGATGGTAGTGAGGCCTACAATGCTTTATGGTGCTGAATGTTGGCCATTAAAAGAGAAGCATAATACTAAGTTAAGTGTGGTATAGATGAGGATGCTCAGGTGGATGAGTGGCTTTACCCTTAGAGATAGGATACGAAATGAGCATATACGTGAAAAGGTTGGAGTAGCTCCAGTAGAAGATAAGATTAGAGAGAGTCGCCTTAGTGGTTTGGTCACATAAAACGGCGGCCTTCCAATGACCCGGTTAGGAGAGTAGAGATATTAGATTTGACTTATGTTAAGAAAGGTAGAGACGGACCTACAAAGACTTGGTTAGAAAATATTAGGATTGACATTTATTTATTAGATTTAAACGAGAATTTGACCTTTAATAGGACACAATAGAGAAAAAGGATTCATGTAGCCGACCCCACGTAGTGGGATAAAGGATTATTGTTGTTGTTGTTGTTGTTGTTGTGTACTATGTATTTCTACACTTCCTCACCTATGGCATCATGCTCGATTACTTTGATGTCGAATGGTGCCATGGCAATCATTCCAATTTTCAATTTGGAGTCTTCACTTGCTACCTTCCCTCCTTCGTTGAAGATTTTTCAATGGATTACACCACTTTATTCTCCCACATTGGATGCTCTTAGAGTTTCAAATGAAGCTCAATTTGATCTCTATCACCACCACCTATCTCAATGGCTCACCTCTTTGTGGAGGATCCCCCTCCTATCATAACTTTGATAACTACGCCCATGTTGCTTTCCTCTCTTGCACCTTTGCAAATGTTGTTGGTGGCTAGAATGTTTGAGGATTGCATTCACCTCCATCCGACCACTTCTCTTTATTTTTTAATCAAATTTAAATACTCCTCAACATAAGCAATCATCCACATATCAAAAAAAAAAACATGCGCTTATTTTCATAGAAGATAAGATCTTTGTGCTTGTTAGATAACTCTTATTCTAT